CCAGTCTACATTGCTGGGCATTCTAATTTACTTGTTCCCATAACACAAGAACAAGAGGTCACCAAATGAAAGTAATAGGTAGCATGTATAAAACAAAGAAAAGGAAGTTTTTCTTCATGCACCGCACAGTCAGCCTGTGGAACTCTTTGCCAGAGGATGTTGTGAAGACCAAGACTTAAAGAGGATTCAGAAGAGAACTAGATACATTCATGGAGGTTAGGTCCATCAATGGTTATTAGCCAGGATGGGTAGGAATGGTGTCCTTTGCCTCTGTTTGTTGGAGGCTGGAAATGGATGACAGGAGAGGGATCACTTGATTCCCTGTTCTGTTCATTCCCTTGGGGCATCTGGCCCTGGCCACTGTCGGAAAACAGGATACTGAGCTAAATGAACCTTTAGTCTGACTCAGTATGGCCATTCTTGTGTTACTTTCTTATGTTCTAATAGTCAGCCATTTGCTCGGCTTCTTATTTTATACAAAGGTATAAAATAGATTTCAACAAGGAATGTTATAAAAATTTGAGTTCATTTATACTCTTTTCCGCTAACGCGCACATGCCGTCTTAGGCGTTTCATTGAAAGCTGAGCTTCAAGAGGTTACACGTTTCATGTGTACCAAACACCTGTCTTGGCTGCTAGAGTAAAACATCTGACAATATTTCCATTAGAAACCCACTTTTTACAGGGTTATCCATCAGGTGCAAATCTTTTCTTTCTTCTGAAAACTGAGAGACAAGATCACAGCACAGAGATGAATTTTGTTTAACAGTTTTGGAAAATGTCGGGTTGGCCATTTTTAAATGACGTGTGGAAATCTGAGACCGCAACATCCTCTGGGAGGAGGGTCCCAACTACAGGATGGTTTCCCTCTGCTCCCATTGAATGCTCTGTTCCCTTGAGATTTTCATCCTCCTTAAGAGCACTGGGGCTCTCAGACTGGAGGTGGGACAGTACTACAGTGTCCTGGAAAGTCTCATCAACATAGCTCGCTACCTCCCTTAGCTCCTGCAGTTCAGCCACCCTGGCCTCCAAAGCCCGAACTCGGTCTCTGAGGGTCAGGAGCTCCTTGCAACAGGTGCACACATATGCCACCCACCCACAGGGTAGGTAATCATACATGTTACACTCGACGCAATAAACAGGATAGCCCCCACTCTGCTGCAGGGCTTCTGTCTCCATTTTTCTAATGAATAAGTTTAAGTATAAACTGGGATTCTTTTTAAACCTCTGGAATATAGATTATTCTAAATTATGTTTTAAAGAAGGTCAGGATTCACTAGTGCCCCTTTTGCAGAGATTTGTTTTGCGCAAAAAAGCCCCAATCGCAAAAATGGCGATTGGGGCTTTTTTTGCGCAAAAGTGCATCTATATTGGCCACGGATGCTTTTCCGCAAAAAGTGCTTTTGCGGAATAGCGTCCGTGCCAATCTAGATGCTCTTTTCCGAAAATACTTTTAACTGAAAACTTTTCTGTTAAAAGCATTTCCGGAAAATCATGCCAGTCTAGACGTAGCCTCTGAGTGTATGAAAAATCTGATTTGTTATCAATATTGACACAAATATACTTTTCCAACTTTTTTATTGCTGGTACTTCTGTAGAACTACAAGGTGATGGGAGTGTGAGCTAGAGCTAGAGCCTGTTCTGGCTCATGCATCAGCTGCAGACTGATTAGCTAAAATTATCTAGACCAGGGTTTCCCAACCTATGGGTTGGGACCCAAATATGGATTGCTAATACATTTCAAAAGGGTTGCCAGGTGTCTTCCCAGTGGCTCTTAAGGAGCCAGTCACACATTTTTTGAATTCCCCTGGGTCACCAAGTCTTCCTGAATTGTCAAAATGGGTCCCCATCTGGAAAAGGTTGGGAATCACTGCTCTACACTAACGGTCTTTTGCCAGAATTGCTCTACTGGTGTAATATACTAGAAAAGTACTCCTAGTATGAACGCAATTCATACCTGTAAAATTACCTCATCAAGCAAAATAAGTTATCATGACAATAGCACAGTTTTGAGGGTATAACTGTGTCCCAACATTAGGATATTCACACCTTTGCAGATATAGCTATGCTGGCAAAACTCTGGAGTGTAAACCTGGCCATAAACTATCACACCTCTTAGCTTTATACACAGGAATAGTTCTAGTGAGGTGAAAGGAACCACTCACACACTTAAATATAAGAATAGGTGAGTCTTTGCTGATCAGAGTCAAAGCTGCACGATAGGGGATTGAAAAGGAGTCACTGAGGGTAGGACCTGCAGGAAATGAGATTGCTCAGGTGTTAAGAACAAACTTTAGAAGCAAATGTGATTGCACAGGTAAAACTAAAGACAGAATTTGGCCTGTAGAATCTGTATTACTGGTGATGATGTATGAAAAAAAAAACTAACATAGCTCAGAGCCCAGAGTGGGTTTCTTGAACTCCTTTTAACAGTAACACCAGGATGTTGCTGGACTAGGAAGTCTGGATTAGAGAGGTTTAACCTCTTTAATTACTATTGTCTTAATCTGCAAATTTGGCACCTTTAATTAAGATCTGAACAAAGACCTGACCTGGATGGGCTACTACATTCAACACTCCAATGACATCAAAAGTTAAGTATCAGGCACTTACAGCCCATTCTACTGGCCTAATTTAGCATGGACACTTTAATTTACAAGGTTTTTTTTCCCTTTTCTTTCCCTCCTCATCCCTTTGCCCTTCCCATCCCCTCTTTTTCTGCTATTCATTTGTAACTCTGGACCCCTTGTTCCATTCATCTGAAGAAGTGGGTTGTATCCACGAAAGTTCATGATACCATCTACGTTTTTTGTGAGTCTCTAAGGTGCTGCAGGACCATTAGTTGTTTAAGTTTTTTCTATATTACCATTGTGCACTTCAGTAACCAAGTAACCACAGGCCATCAAATTGTCCAGCCTAGGACATTTTCAGATAAGAACATCTGAGCAACACTTTAGGGTAGTGTTGAGCAAACTATGGCCCACAGGCCACCCATGACCATCAGGATAATTTGCTGGTAGGCTGCAAGATAGTTAATGTTGAGCATCCACAGGCATGCCACTCCACAGCTCCAATGTCCACGATTCACTGTTCTTGGCCAATGGAAGCTGCAGGAATTGGTGGGCCAGAGGACTTCAGTTGGCCTGCTTGACACGTGAACTTAAGTCATATTTCCCCAACATTCAAAGCAACTCTGTTCAACTTGATTGAGTAAGAAACCCATTCATTCTGTCAGATTTTAGCAGCAAGAACATCTCTGCCACTCAGCATGACAGTTTTGAGACCATGGTCTGCAAAGGAAGTTTAATGACTCTACACAAATGCAGTTCTGATGTGTAGTACAGAAAACACACACTGACCCTAGGAACCATGCTTTGGGTATCTAACCTTTTGGGTCAACATATCTTTGTAAAGACTCAATTATTGCTATGACTGTCATCAAGATGAAGGACAGAAATAGATTCAACGTGGAAAAAAATCTTAATTGTCACTGTCGCTTCACTGCCTCTCAGAATGACAAGGCTCACTAGTGGGAAAAAAAAGCTCGGCATCACACTGAAATGTTAAGTGCAATAGTACAATATTTATATTCCAAATGTTTTATTTTATATGGTAAAAGTGAGAATATAAGAAATGTTTCAATAATAGTGTGTTGTGACTCTTTTTGTAATTTTGAGTCTGATTTTGCAAGCAAGTAGCTTTTAAGTTAGGTGAAACTTGGTGTACACAAGACAAACTGGTCTCCGGAAAAGAATACATTCATCTGGAAAGGTTGAAAACCAGTGGTTTAGTATATGGATCTTTTATGATTAAGGCTTTGAGTCTATGACCTTCACTTACACTAAAGCCTGGTCTACAATACAGCAGAAGGTCAAAATAAGATACGAAACTCCAGCTACGTTAATTATGTAGCTGGAGGTGAAGTATCTTATATTGCATTTCTGCCCCATGCACACAGTGGGGGGCTGATGGGAGCAAATGCTTCCATCAGGTTCCTTTATGCCTCACAAAAGGAGGAGTATTGGATGCCATCTGGAGCTGCCCTCAGTATTCGATTTACAGTAGGGATGTTTAATTGCAGGTAATTGACTAATCAAATAGTTGATGCAAAATGCATCAACTATTTGACTAGTCGATAGGGTGTTTCTGCCATTCCACCACTGACCCTGGGCTCCATGTAGTGCTGCTGCTTTGAAATGCCAATGTGGGAGCCAGGAGTCAGACTTCTTGCAGCAATTCAAAGCATCAGTGCCACATGGAAATCGTGATTGGCTGGGGACTCACCAGCTGATCCTGAACTCCACGTAGCATTGCTCTGAAATGCTGGAAGTAGCCTGATGCTGGGCTCCCCAAGGTGGCATTTCAAAGTGGCAGCACCACATGAAGCCTGGGATCTGGCCCCAGGCTTCATGCAATGCTGCCGCTTTGAAGTACCTCCTCATTCTCCCCCCGCACCTCCCCCCATTGCCTTTCTCTGATAGAGGCAGTAAAGGGGGAGGGAGTGACTAGTGGACAACCATATTGACTATCTGATAAGCATTTGCTTATCGGATAGTTGACTAGTCAACTAGTCATTCACATCGCTAATTTACAGGTCCATACTTGACCCGCTAAATCCAAAGCCTGAAGATCGACATCTGGAGCATTGATTTTCCACGTAGTGTAGATGTGACATTAAGTGTCTTACTCTGAACTATTACTGGGTGACATTTCTGGCCTGTTTTATACAGTGGGTCAGACTAGATGATGACAATCGTCTTATATGGATTTAAAATCTAAACATCTATGCATAATCCCCTCTCTTTCAATGAACTGCTGCAGAACAATGTCAATACAGGCAGCTGAATGCAGTTCAGAAAATTAATTTTTATTTAGTAAGGCTAAACATCAGAAAACATCATTTGTTGGCACATACCCCTTTAAAATGCACATTTAACAAAACTTTTTCCATTGAAACATTCTTCTGCTGCTCCAGAAATGTTACATAATTAAAATTAGTTTCTAGATACATATGCTAGCACTCCTTTGTGTGTTTATGATAATATGCATGTAGAATATACATATGCTATTTTCTATCTTTCTGGGTGTTTCCATTTAAAGAAAAGTCTCAAGGATAAGTCAGGTTATAAAAAGCTCATGCAAAGTTTATTCAGCAGTTCCCAGGGAGTCCAGGTACAGCACTGCACAGTAAGTCACTGTTTATCTTATTGAGTAAAAGTTGTTAAGGAGACATTGGCATTCTGTAGTACAGTTACAGATTCATCATGAGAAAAAGCAATTATTACAAAGCTTTACCTATCATCTGGATTAGTCAGTCTAAGCTTTTTTCTTTGACTTGTTCTAGATGCTTGGAATTTGGATTCTTGCACATTTTCTGCTTGGGTCAGTCAGAGGTGAGGCACAGGATTTATATCAATTTCAGTACAGCATTTCTGTTCCAATCACAATAATTTTCTTTAGTTCAGATTTTGCTCTTTGTGATGAAGATTCTACAGTAAACTTCCAATAATCTGGCACCTTTAGGACCCAGGGGGTGCCAGATTATCAAATATGCCGGACTATCAGAAGGGGGGGGCTATGAGCGGGCTGGGGTGGAGTGGGGGGCATGAGCCCCTCGGCGCTGTGGGACCAACCCAGCAGCACCCCAGTTGCTCTGCCCCCGGCTTCCCCAAGTCAGCCGCTGGTCAGTTTCAGCAGCGGCTGAATCGGGGAAGCCGGGGGCAGAGCGGCTCCAATTGTCCGGCTGCCCGGAGCACTTCCAAGTTCCAGATGGTTCTGGACCATCAGGAGTGCCGGATCACTGGAGTTTTACTGTATAAGGAATGATTATTTGAGCTTGCAGCTCATTTGTAAGGTGAGAGGTATGGTTTGCAATCCCCTCTGGAAGTCCCAGTCTCAGTGTACAAAACAGAAAGTATGGGAAGATGTATTTCCCCGAAGAGTGCTGATATCCTGATCTTTTCCCTACGGTCATTGGGGTAAAGTGAAAGGTTCTTTGTATCCATCTCCTCCCTTGGGCATCCAGACTAGAATGGGCACAATCTGGCTGGTAATCAATTAGGTTCACATTGTACAAATTGCCCATGACAAGGGATTACACAGAGCCAGAGGGAGCCTGTGGAGGAATATTCCCCAGAGAGTAGGTGATCAAACCTCATTGTGGGGGAAGACATACTCCTCACTGCATGCTGGCTCTACTCTGCAGACTGGTGCTGAAGGTGGAATGGCCATTCTCTCCTTGCAACCAAGGTTGCTGTGTTCAGAAAGCACCAGAGTGCTGTTGGAACAGAATGTGACAATAGGAACTTATCATACCTTTATTCTTTCACAACCTAATAGTTTGCTCTGTGTGCTACAGGAAAGGAAGTTTGCTTTCAAAGGCTTGGATGCTTCACAGATGCCAAGCCATGGGGTGGAACTATAGAAAGACCAGAGGCAAAGTTACCCTGGAGTCCAGAAGCGATAAACACTCGCTTCCTTCTTTATACAAAAAAGAATCCTGATAGCTTTCAAGAAAGACCTATCACTGTTTAAATATTGCAAGTGACACATACACACACAACACAGAAATATCACCTATTAGTGCTCCTGGTATTCCCAAGGCCAGTGAGAGAAATGGCCACCTCTCCAATGTGGTCAGGAGGCAGCATTTTCCAGCCTCTCTGAAATTTCCTGTCCAGCCTACCACAAGTTACATTAAGTCTCGAGGAACAGAATTCTCACTGATAGATGTGACAGCTGATTCTTTGAATAGAGCCAGTAAAGACTGAAGGCTCTCCCTCCCCAGAAAAGAGTACAAAAGTCACCCTTAGCCACACTTTTTATTTTTCCTGTGTCCATTGAGAAAAGTTAGTGAGATCTGTAACACTGGAAGTTATTTGGTGAGAAATGGAAAGGAAACACTAAACTTAAAAGGTTAAATCCTGGCTCCACTGAAATAAATGGCAAAACTCCTAGTCTTAATGTCACAGCTAAGTGCATGTGTAAATGCACACAGGATTTGGGTTTACATAATAACTGTTTTGTTTTCTATTTATGTGGTGGGGTTTTTATAAGCTCTTTATAGGAAATAGTTTAAACATTTACTATTTTAATAACTACAACAGGAGATCTCTGCAATAAATCCATCAACAATTGGCAACTCAAATTTTAGTCCAATCAAAATAACCCGTTTGATCATCCATGGATTTGGAGACCAAGGAGAAGGAAACTGGCTGATGGACATGTGCAAGGTATAGTATTATCTGGATATTCCATGATTCTCAAATCCCTTTGTTCACATTTATGAAAGTACTCCTGAAATTACTCATTTTCTCTATGTTTGACCAATGCATACAATGACATTTACACAATTAGGATATAAATGATTTTTAAATGAAATCTATTAAGTTCTAGCTCTACCTCCAGGAAAAGTATTTAAAAAGGGCCAAATTCTACTCTGTGATGAAGTCAAAGGGTTTATACAGATGTAAATGATGGCAGATTTTAGCCCAATCAATGTTTTTTTCCCCTTTGGTGTAAATAAAAATGTAGCAAAAGGCTTCTTAGAAATTAAAGAGATTCCAGAGTTTATTAAATGGGGAGAGGTCAAGCTTGTTGATTCCTGGTTCTACTGATAACATGCTGGATTAAGCTGCCTGGGTGCAGGAAGGTTCTGAGCGTAGACAGACCACTAAAGAGTGGTGGGATAGCCCATGACCCTGAACTGGGCTTTAATTGCTGAGGAGATGGTATAGTCAAGTGACCCTAACATACCTATTCCAACCATCTGCCCCTCTGATGCATTTTTAATCACCTTCAGAATTATCTCCTCTTTTAACATGTACACATAACGTTTTTATGTGAACGAACATTTGCAATCAGAATGGTTGTGCTGTTAGCGCAAAGCTGTGCAGTTTATTCCTTTGTCTCAAGTCATTAGCTAGTTCCAGTGTAGCCTGGAGCCCTATATTTAAAAATTACATCCTTATCTTTATTCCAAAAGTTTATTGATTACATGGCACGTAAGCTCAACTTTAATTACATCTTATATTGCTCTAGATAGTGATGCTGCTATGACTGATTATATTCTCTTTGGCCATTTCTATCATCATCATCAACCACCATGGGCTCAATGCCCGTTGGTGTTCAATGCCTCCCTCATTCATAGAATCATAGAATACTAGGACTGGAAGGGACCTCGAGAGGTCATTGAGTCCAGTCCCCTACCCCATGGCAGGACCAAATACTGTCTAGACCATCCCTGATAAGACATTTATCTAACCTACTCTTAAATATCTCCAGAGATGGGGATTCCACAACCTCCTTGGGCAATTTATTCCAGTGTTTAATGTCCAACCTAAACCTCCCTTGCTGCAGTTTAAGCCCATTGCTTCTTGTTCTATCCCCAGAGGCCAAGATGAACAAGTTTTCTCCCTCCTCCTTATGACACCCTTTTAGATACCTGAAAACGGCTATCGTGTCCCCCCTCAATCTTCTCTTTTCTAAACTAAACAAACCCAATTCTTTCAGCCTTCCTTCATAGGTCATATTCTCTAGACCTTTAATCATTCTTGTTGCTCTTCTCTAGACCCTCTCCAATTTCTCCACATCTTTCTTGAAATGCGGTGCCCAGAACTGGACACAATACTCAACTGAGGCCTAACCAGCGCAGAGTAGAGCGGAATAATGATTTCTCGTGCCTTGCTCACAACACACCTGTTAATGCATCCCAGAATCATGTTTGCTTTTTTTGGAACAGCATCACACTGCTGACTCGTATTCAGCTTGTGGTCCACTATACCCTTAGATCCCTTTCTGCCGTACTCCTTCCTAGACAGTCACTTCCCATTCTGTATGTGTGAAACTGATCATTCCTTCCTAAGTGGAGCACTTTGCATTTGTCTTTATTAAACTTCATCCTGTTTACCTTAGATATCAGTCTCACTCTCAATGCTCGGCGGTGATATCTTTTTCAATTCTTCAATCAGTCTCTCTGAGACACTCGGATCCAACTGTGCTTTGTACAGATTGGTACAATATCTCGTCCATCACTGCACAACCTTCTTTTTGTTCATGAGCACCTTATCATTCTCGTCTTTGATCGCCATCTGCTTTGGCTGCCACTTCCTATTAATATTCCTAATCATTTTATACACCTCCCTGATCTTACACTCGCTGTAATACTTCTCTGTATCTTCACACTGCTCCTCTAATCACTTTGCCTTATCCATATTGGCTGCTTTCCTCACCTCATTGCATTTCACTCTATATTGCTGTTTTGCCCTCTCGGAGGCATCCCTTTTGATCTTCAATACTCTCTTCTCTTGGACCAACCTAGGAGATTATTTCAAATTTACTAAATTCATCTTCTGGGCACCCGATTTTACAAATTTGAAGTTCTGTATCCTCACTACAGGCAAGAATTGAATGTAGTCCAAGGTAGCGCATCCATATTAACGAAGCCTGCTTCAGACTCAGAGCCCCAGGAAGCACTCTGGAGAGCTGCAGGAGGCTTCCTGGAGGCCAATTAGCTTGAATTAGTGGAACCAGAGTGTCTACACTAACATTATTTTGGACTTACAAGTTTGGGAATAACCTTACTCCTCATGAAAAGCAGGACTACAGAGTTCAAATTCCTCAGCCCCTTATTTCAGAATAAAGGGCTTGGTAATGTGGACACATCACTTAGAAAATCGATGTTGGAGGACTACTTTTGGACTAAGGTCCTAGTGTAGACCAAGCCTCTGTTCCTAAAAAAGGCATAAAATTATCCACTCTAATTTTTAAAAGTTAAAAAAAAGCAATCCTCCTAGGAGAGCAGACTTTCTTTTTCATTGTGATGATACTAACTGTTAACAACCTGCATCAATGGGAGGGGGAAATGACAGGACAGGCAGTGAATGGGGCACAATCCCAGTGACAAGAGAGGGATACACTTGCCAAGGGACAATAGTTAGCTCCTCTCCTGGGAGTCTGTCAGTCATTAGCCACTCTGGGAGTAGGGTGCTGATTGGCAGCATACCACATCTACCAGGATTTAGCCCAGTGCAGGAGACATGTTGAGTTAAAAAAAAATCCCATTCCAGTTGTAAAAATCCTGCTTTTTTATTTTTGGGATATCAAAAGAATGCTCTAGCTTGCAGCTCTGCACAAAGGCACCTTTCTGCAGCTCAGAAAGCAGGAACACACAAACCCAGGGCGTCTCCAATATTCTGATTGTGAACAATCCTTCTCCTCTCTCCAGCTTTCATTCCCTTCTCCCATTACTTAGTTCTAAATGACCTCAGTCTCCAGTTCTCCAAAGAGGTTAGTGATCCATTGATCACAATTTCATGTACAGCTGATTCAGCCATCCTTATTCATAGCAAGACGTGCTTTGCTATTAAGTAGTTCCCTTATTTTCATTGGTATTACTGACACATAACCCAGAGCATAGCATATACATAACACAAGACAAAGCATGTCACAACTACTAAAGGAGGGTGTCTTTAGCAAACTATTCCACAGGTCTGAGCAAGAAAAGCAAAATCTAATATTATGTGACAGATACTTTACTATCTGCTCATCTCTGTGAATACCAAAACACAGCAATAAAGTTGAATCCAATGTAAAATGATGGCAGAGACTTATGCATCCTCTTGAAAACATAAATCCTTGTGTTTGATAAATAAACATCATCTATAAAATTTTAAATAACCCCACCTTTTAATTATAATGGAAAAATATAAGCTTCTATTTGAACTTTTAAAGGCTATTTCTCTGCATCATTTAAAAGAATCAAGACATGAACAAAGCCCTGAGGTATGACAAGTTCTGTACTTGAAAAACTGTATAGGGAATTCATATGGCATTTATAATTCTGTCTTACTGTGTTGGTTAAGTAATCAGTGAGATGGCCCAGTAGTTGATAATGTTTGCTTCTATTCTTTTAAAATATATATTTGCACCAGAGGATGTTTCAAGTGGAAGACGTGAACTGTATCTGCATAGATTGGAGTGGTGGGTCATCAACCCTGTATAGTCAGGCATCAAACAACATCCGTGTTGTGGGCACTGAAGTGGCTTATTTTATCAATATACTTATGGTAAGGAATCTTTTTCTCATTCCAAAATAGATTGTCAGTCACAGAGCTGCTGAAAATTATTCTAATCTAAATAGACAACTACAATAAACTGTTATGTAGCCAGAAAAGGACTCCTCCAGCAAATGACAGTTCTCCACCTATTAGATTCTGATGTCCTATCAACTCCCTTAATAATACATAGAATTTAAATATTTCATCGTGAAATTTCTTTCATGTACTCTTGTGGATGCAAGGGTTGGGTAGCAAGAAATAGGGTGTGGGTGTATAATCCAATTAAAGGCAAGATATTCAGCTCAGACAAATCACATAGCTCCACTGATGTCAATGTAACTTACCATTTTACAGCAGATGAGGCCCTTAGGGGAGGAAGGGTATTTTCAAAGGCACAAAGGCCTTTACAGGCCTAATTCCAATTGAAAGTCAGTGTGAACTAGGCACCTAACTGCCATCTCTGAAAATATCTCCCTCTGTCCCTAAATCTAAGGACTTTAAAATGCTTGCAATAAGGCATGAGTGAAGAACGAGAAAAGGAATAGTTCTTAATATTGTCTGAACTAGTTTGCCTCTGGCTAGCATAAATACTAGGAGTTATCTTACAATCTTACAATGTCGAGAGGAGGCCAAATACACTTCCATTCACTGTGGGGCTGGGAATAAGAATCTGACTGCTGAAATCATAACTATCCACTGCCAAAATCCCACATTTGTGCAGAAGTTGCAGAGGTTAATAATGCCCTGGGGCTGTAGTAACAGCTACTGAATGGTTCTTACTGCTCTGCACCTTGGACTCTGTCCAATTCCATGGACCTCCACTCTGTGCAGCCCATTTCTGACTTTTCTTGTAAGCCAGAGCTTCTATCTAGACCTCATCTTAGTACAAATGCTCCCTTTTCATTACAATTGGTGTTTTACCTCAGGAATGATACGGATACTCTCCTTCCAAAGTCCATTTAATTGGCCATAGCCTTGGAGCACATGCTGCGGGGGAAACAGGGAGGAGGAGGACAGGCATTGGAAGAATAACTGGTAGGTTAGTGAATTACACCTCAGTCTATACCAGTGAAGAATATGAAGAGATCATTGTTAAATCTTAACAATATCTCACATATGATACTAAAACAACTACAGTATCTGATACAAGAACTATGCAGGGTCATGAACTGGTGTGCGTGCATATTTGTTTGTTTTATCTGCATGTGTGTCACCGCTTTTTGCAGGATGGATTCCTAACTCTAAACTATCATAATATCATATTACTGACAGCCAAATTGAACCCTTCTGCAGTAACATCATCCCACTCTCAGGAAGGAAGTATCCAGGTGGAAATCTCCATAAAGATCCCTTCAGGGTGGTGTTCCCCTAACTTCAGTCTTTGGGGAGATATATGCCCCCTGCAGAATATCCCTGAGATCTTCTTACATCAGGGCTGAGTTTGTCCTCAAGAATTACTGCATGAACAGTGGGGAGGGGGACTGGAGGGAGTAGGCCAGTTGTTCTCAATCAGCATGCAGCTGCAGCCCATGTGACACCCTCAGGGCTATACAGGTGGTATTGGATGCAATACACAGGGGTAAACAGGTTCAGGATCCCTGGGATAGGCTAATATGGATGAACTTTTCTTGTATGTGTGTAGTTGGCAGTGGAAGGAGAATGGAGTTGTTTTATAGCATGCTGCAGAGATGAGAAAACAATCGTATTTTTAGACTTTCTATGGCCAAATAATTTTTCCTGTCTTCTTGGGAGAGATCCTCATTAACAGGCATGTGTCTTTTGATTAGGGAAGCTGCTTCCCATGCCCCACAGATGGATGCCCCCAAACGGGTCACTATGCAGATAAGTTTAAGGACAAAGTTACTTCTACAATTAAAAAACTCTATCTGAACACAGGAGAGGCCAAAAATTTTGCACGTAAGTTCCTTCTTGTTTTACTTGCTTCTGCTTACATATGAGAACTAACACCATTTAAAAAATGTTGCTTTCTCCTTAAATCAGTTTAAACAGATGAAGGACCTTACAGTAGTGGAGGATCAGATATAGCAGAGCTCTGTACAACCATACTCCATCTCCCTGTCAAGCTGACAACAGTCTCAGAAAGCATCCAACATACCTCCATAGGCATAGTGTAACTTCTATATTTGGAGGAGCGGGAGCTTCAGTCTTGCCAATGGGCTGTGCATGAGGGTGGGAGACAAATTCTGTGGCTTTCACTTTGGAGAAGAAATGCCCCTCTTGTCCCCTACCCCTGAATTGTCCATATGTGACTCCTTCCCCATATGTTGGGAGTGGAAATACAGCTGGGGTAAGAAGTAGACTGGCCGCCTTTCCCTGTAGTAAGTCAATAGAAGTTCCCCTACAGCAGAATACTCCTCTTACCATTGCATACTTTAAAGTTTGAGCCTTCTTTACCTTGCTTATGGACAAGTTAATCCAGCCCTCACTCTTCAGTGTTCCTTACAACACTCCCAACTTATGAATAGATACTTTTATGGCCAGTATTCCATGTGGTATGTTCCTCCTATCATGTTATGATGAAGTCCATGAATTCCCTCTGGCTTGGATCTTTGTGTAGTCATTCACACCATGCAAACTGGGAATAAAATGAAGCTTCAGGGGGTAGCCAAGTTAGTCTGTGCAGGATAAACTTAAACAACAAATGGTCTGGTAGCACTTTAACAAAACATGTAGATGGTTTTGCCCACGAAAGCTCATGATACCATCTACATGTTTTGTTAGTCTATAAAGTGCTACCAGACCATTTGTTGTTTAAGTTTATGGGAATAAAATGTTATTTATTAACAGCGTGAGTGAAGACTTCTGATATGCTAGAGTTTTACACTCATTTTGCATGGCTGTAAATGACTGTGCAAATTGCGTGCAAAGCAGTGAAAACTCAGGCTCCCGGTATTCTGCTATAAAATATCTATTCTATTCTTGATAGGATTTAATCTTGAGCTCAAAGTGAAGTGGCTGCTGTCATGTTATCATTTGTTTTGCCCTAAAACAAAGTACTGGTAGAAAAATCAAAAGTGAACATGTTGCTTTTGTTTCTACTTGATTATAATCTAATTCACTTAATTTCTTCTGTGTAGGTTGGAGGGATAAAGTATCAGTGGCAATATCAGGAAAGAGTACAGAGAGCGGATATGTAAATATCACCTTGTCTTGAACTGGAGGAACCACAAAGCAACATCAAATTGTTGTGTAAGTTCAGTATGATGAAAAATGAGCTTCTTTGCTATTAGAATATTTTAATTAATTCTATTTCATACTACTACTGCTAAACCCTTGTACTCCGAGTGGAGCATAGGTCATCTACAAGTCTCCTCCACTTCACTCTGTCTCAAGACAAAACTTCTAGCTGACTCCAGGAGTACCCCAGTTGTTGTCCTTCAATCTTAGAAGATCTTCCCCACATTGTCCAAGGTCTTCCTCTTTTGCGTTTTCCTTGCTGGTTCCACGTGAGAGCTTGACTATACTAGAAGTTGGTTTTCTGAGAGTGTGGTATAGCCACCCCCGCTTTCTTCTCTTGATTTGAACGTCAAGTGGTTCTTGTCCTGCTCTGTTCCAAAGCTCCTCATATGTAACAAAATCTTGCCATTTATTGTGAAGGATGTACCTCAGGCATCTGTTTATGAATGTCTGTAGCTTGTGATTTAAAGACTTTTTAGTTCACCAGATCTCGCATCCATACAAGAGCACACACTTCACATTTGTGCTGAAGATTCTGAGTTTGGTCTTTGCAGATATTATTTGCGAACTCCATATGGGATGGAGAATCTTGAATGCAGTTGTTGCTTTCCCTATCCTAGCACTGATATACTTATCTGTTCCTCCGTCTCTGGCCATAATACTCACCAAGTAGGTGAACAGCTTCACATCTTCCAGATCATCCCCTCTCAGTGTGATGGTGTTGTTGGACTGATTGGACTGAGCATCAACAAGGGAAAGACCAAGATAATGAGGATCAATCATTGAGGCAGTTTTGTCTAGTTTTGCAACCTTTTCTTCCATGCTTTCATGTTGGTGTGAAAGCCTTTGACAGTGTTGATAGAGACACCTTGTGGAAACTGCTGCAACATTGTGGCATTCCATCTAAAAGTATTAACCTGATCAGTTTAATGTACGAACCCTTGACATGCCAAGTTGTTCACAATGGTGTCTTGACAGAATCCTTCAGTATGCTCTCAGGAGTGTGACAAGGATGCCTATTGTCACCTTTCCTGTTCTTGATCACAATGGACTGGATTAAGAGCAGGACAACAGATGGCCACCAATGGGACATTCACCTTTCAAACAACTAGAGGACATTGATTTTACTGATGATGTTGCCCTCCTTTCACACCAACATGAAAGCATGGAAGAAAAGGTACTTCTTACTCCATAGACCAAATTCTGCTCTCACATACAAGGATGTAAATCTATATTAACTGTATAGACTCTAGGTTTATATCAGAAGAAGAGTTAGAAGTAAGCCCCACATCTCTGATAACTGTAAGGATACAAGAACAAAGAGCTAGTTCCTGATCTCAGTTACACAACATAACGTAACTGAATTAAAAAATGATTCTATGGATTTACATTCATAGAATATAATTCTGATCCTTTATCTTTTGCACATTTATAAAAAGTTGCATCCATTTATGAAACTATTATAGGCGGTGCTACCAGCTGTGCTATTATTAAGATGCCTGATGATTGCTTTCAAAAAACCCTATTTTAACGTGCTCATAACTTTGCAAAACTTTAATCATTTGCACTGAAACTTTCTGCATCAATTGTCTGCCTCCACCTTGGACAGACAGGCAAATATTAAGTTTAAGCTAAAATGGTTCAGGTGTTTCGGAGAAACCGATTAGGGGAAAATACAGCATTTTGTCCCTGTTGAAAAAAAGTCTTACAAACTTTTCACTGAGAACTTGTAACGCCTCCATGCTTTAGAGCAGGAACTTTAAACTTACCAGTGAGATGATGCTGGTGTAAGAAATGCATCTTGTGCTCTCAGTAAAAATTCACCCACATTTGACCAAGTTATAAGGGTATGAAAAATCTCAGCTTGACTTATTTAGCAAAGACCTGATATTAGAGTTTGGCATTAAACTCTACAAGGAATCCATCTGCACTGAATATGCTCCAGTGCCTCACAGCTGTTATTTGCAACCAGATTGTGCATGGACCATCCCAACAAAGTTATCCCATGGCAGCAGGGTTTAGCAAGACTTTCCTTGCAGATTTTGTTCTAGGCAGTCAGGGGGCCACTACAGTACTAGGCACAGGAACTGGGAGTAGGGACACTGTACCTGTTGTTTGTACCCTTAATGCACTCCCATGCCTGGAAGTGAGGAGGAAGAAACGGCCTGATGGGAATGCAGAGATGTGAGGAGGAGCAAAGAACTGAGAGAGAACTGGACTAGTGGGGAGAGGGATTGTTGGAGGCAAAGGACAAGAGCTGGTGGTATGGAGGGAAGCAAAGGGGAAGGGAACAAGAGCCAAGGAGTGGAGTTTGGAAGTGGTGCGGCAGGAGCAGAGGAAGATGGATAGGGGATGTGACCAAGTCATTTAAAAGAGATAATATGTAACTGTGTAATTTGACACTATCATAATGCATACACACACAAAGGCGAAATTAAAGTTGTGAGGGAAGCCTTAATACTGGTATTTTCAAACTGATGAGTGCCTGCCTTTGCAACATTTACAATGAGCTTTTAACCATTTTATGTAATTATAAACATAAATGTATACCAAAACCCTGTCTCTACTACCAAATGAAACCACGCTGCAGCCAACTCTCAGGACACTGTATTGTAACTGGGTCTCCTGGAACACTATATTTTAATATAGGTGAGGCATTGTAAAATGTGGGTATACCTGGAAAACATCCCTTTGGTCAGCAGGTAATGCATTCTAATGAACTGATTTTACATGAGGACAGGATGTGTTCATTTACAAATTTTTATATAACATGAACATTTATATTACATTGAGGTAAGGTGACAAGCTGAAGACCACACTCATTATCAACATGCTGCTATAGCACACAAACAATTACACTGAATTGGCATTTAATATTAAACCTCACTGGACATCACCTGTTTATATTCTTTTTTTTCTTGAAGGGGGACCCTCAAACCAAGAGTTACATATACCAACTTCACTGATGTCGAAATTAATGTTGGGACAGTTAGTAAAGTTAAAACTCTTTGGAAGAACCATGTTGCAAACCCAGCCCAACCTACACTGGGAGCAAAGGTCATAGTGAAAGCGGGAGAAAATGGAAATGTGTATGTATATTTATTGTGAAAATCTCAAATCATTTAATAGATACAAGGTCAGCATGACATCTGTGGGTAACAAAGATTGCATTTAGAATATTAAAAAAAGAGGAAACATTTTAATTTCCTTCCCCACAAGGTATCCATGTAGCTAACTGGTACGTTAAATATTTGTTAGCTATCATCAAGGAAAAATTATAAAAACCTCAGTTTGACTTCAACAAGAACAAAGTTTTTGTATAAACTTCTGTGCTTTGGGTAGGAAAGATTAACTGTGGTTTAGGTAATCAGCACAGCGCTTTGCCAAGTTCCCAGATATAAGTCTACTATGTACTGCAAGTTTTGTACTAGAGATTGTTATCGGTGTTTAAAACTTACATTAGGAGGTCTGATTCACTGACCATTGAAGTCTATAGGAGTCTTTCTACTGATTTTAATAGGTATTGGACCAGGCTCTGGATGAGTAAGAGGTAATGGTCTCCAGTTCCCACAGACCAACTTAGTAGTTATAAATTGCTAAAGGCCTGATCCAAACCCACTCCATTAACTTCTTTGGGTTTGGGATCAGTCCTTATGACTGTAGAAACAATGTACCACACTTACTGATTGGAAGGTGCTTGTTAAATTAGTTATTTTAAAACAGCATGTTTCAATCTGTTGGCCAGCAAAGGTTGTGTGTTACCTTTTCCACCCTTTTCACCACCCTTTTCACTAGAGACACAATGAATGGGGGGATATGTAAAATGGGTCATCATAGGTATAATTAAAGTCACATAGCTAAAGTCTATTCACTTAGAATAGACATGTGAAAGGGGAGGGAATTTCAGACAGACTAATATGTTCAAAGCTCTGTAAACTATGGTAAAGCAGAGCCGTACAAATCCGCTTCTGGTTTTTGAATTCGACAGATTAACATGTTGATGGATGCTGTTCACATAAATGTGCCCGTCAGCTATTCTATTTATTCATATCCCAACATGCACTGAGCAATCATCATCTCTCAAGTGCTAGCGGCATGCAACTTCAATAGGAAAGGCATAAAACTGAAGGAATGAATTCAAAAAGAAAAGCCAACCAATGATGATGAGTGGTGCTTTAGAAGGGAATATTTCACATTTAGCAACCCAAATGTGCTTGTTCTTTAGTGCCAATGTAACAATAGTCTACCATAGCTTTGTAAAAAAACCAAATTAGGTTGGCTTATTCTATTACAAAACTACTGGCACAGTTACAATAAATATAGACATACTAAAATCACTTTGCATATTTTCTTTCTTCAGGTTTAATTTTTGTGGCAGTGGAACTGTGCGAGAGAATGTTCTGCAAACTCTTACATCTTGCTGACAGTTTTAGTATGTTGTTAGCGCTATATGTTAACATTAATAAAAGTTGATCATGCATAACAGCCTCACTCATTAGATGTAATGTTTTATCATCATTATTTGCATGTTGGGGAAACCCAAAAGGATGGGCTTACAATGTTCAAAGATATGCAACATAAGGTATAAAGATACAATATATGAACACATTGATCAAGGAGATTATCTGTTAAAGAGGTGAACTGATTGTCTCAAATCAGAGGACATAATGAAGTAAATCCTGATCTCAGTTATTCCTGTGTGACCTTCATTAAAATCTCTGGTGCTACACAAGTACAACTGAGGGCAGACTTTTGCCCAAATCACATTTCCACAGACTGGCATAAACTTCACGTTGTCCAATGTCTAAAACAGACAGACTGAGTCTGCGTGTCCAGAGAGGTCAAACAGAGGCAAGTGAGCATAAAACAGACTGTAGATGAAGCAGCAAAGTAGAGTGTTTGTGAAAGCATAATTTTTAATTACTCTTACAATACTGCTCCATAGGGACAGTCTGAGCCACACAGGTTCCAATACTTAGGTGGCTTTTGCAGGTAGGCACAATTGTCCCTTAAGCATTGTGAGTGTTGCATTGTGGGGAGTCAAAAAACACAGAATCCAACCACTTTCCCGCTGAGCATGAGACCTGCTCAGTCAGTGTCCACAAGGTAACAGTAAGAGAGATGTGAATGTGTGAGACACATAGCACAAGCAGCAACAGAGTGGCTTCCACCCTCTCTATAGACACCACTACCCAAATACAGCCTGATTTCATGGGAGGTGTACTAGTTCATGTCAGGGTCCATTTGCCTCCTGCATTCTCTTGACATAGCAGCACCTGCTCCTTTTTAATCACAACAGGGCTGTGTTCCAGCATCTGGCTCATAGATTTCAGTGATACCTCCTGTGATACCTTCTACAGGGACATTAACTTAACATCAAGGGAGATTTCTCCTTTATTTTTCATTCCTCATGGCCTTATATAAGCAGACATTTGCTTACACTCTGGTTTTCACAGTGGTCATATTCTCAGCATTATCCTCTGCCATAGTCAAATAGTGGATCATATAATTTTAACATTAACAATAGAATAATAAAAAGTCCTTTAATAATGCACTGGAGTAGCTTTTATCTTTTTTTAGCAGAATAAAAAACACACACTTTACAAAGCTGCATTGTTAAATGAACAACAAATTATTCTCCCGTTTGCTAGCTTTTAATGCTAATGGTGCTATTTATTCCTGACATTTTCAAATATTAAGATTTTTAAAATAACATAAAAAGAATTCTTGTTTGAAAATGCAAGTGACTTTAAACTACATGTTATTACTTTTGAGTATAGCATGTGCATGCATCATTCATTTCAGTGTCCCATTTATAGCTAATTGGTATATATTTCAATTGACATAAATTGTTCTCTCACTAACATGTCAAATTCTGTAATGATGTCAGCGACAAAAGCATAGTGCTTGAGATATATAAATTACGCTCTTTACTATAAATCACTCTTATCTATTATAAATGCTGTTTGTGACAACTCATTCAAAATACATACTGGATTGATTTTTTAACTTTAATATCACACCATTCATGGCAAATCTTTGAATCTTTAAAGTGCAGAAATGTTTTGGGTTTACCTCCATTTCAGCGATATATTTTGCTGCATTTTAAAAAGTGACTTTGTTCAGCAAAGGAAGAGAAATACAACTCTGGCATTCATTAAACATGTCTTTTCCTTTGTGTTGTAATGGGCTTCATTTTGGAAGGGAGCAGAAAAAAGAATAACTTCTAAATCAGTATACCCATGTTTTCAAACTGTGTGCATCATTATGGGAATATGAACACAGATCATGATTCAACAAAGCACTTAAGAATGTGCTTAAGTTTCATTGAAGTTAATTAAATGTAAGACCCTGCTTAAAATTAACATGAAGGAGGAGCTTTGTAATTAGAAAATGGTGGGCCACATCCTGCTCAATTCCATTCCTACGCGACAAGCAGGAACAGAGGAGCGGGGCAAAGGCATTTTAAACATTGACGTTTTTGCTAATGCATTCAACAAAGCACTTAAGAATGTGCTTAAGTTTCATTGAAGTTAATTAAATGTAAGACCCTGCTTAAAATTAACATGAAGGAGGAGCTTTGTAATTAGAAAATGGTGGGCCACATCCTGCTCAATTCCATTCCTACGCGACAAGCAGGAACAGAGGAGCGGGGCAAAGGCATTTTAAACATTGACGTTTTTGCTAATGCTCTCTGG